TCATAAATAATTGTCATCATGAAGAATATCATTCAGGATTTTGAAGCTAAACTGCATGTTTTCAGAAATGATATTTATCAAGTTTATTATGTACGTTGATGTGACTTCATTTGATAAACTGGACTTGTTACAATTCGATTGGTTGGAGGCTTGGAAAATTTGAAGTGCAACTGATTGATTTCCAGTCTGGTTCAATATGGAATTAAAAATTTATTGAAACAAGGAAAAAGTTGTGGAATTAATTTAAACAATGATTAGCAAGAAATTTAAGTAAAAATGGATGTAACGAAATTTTGAAACATTGAATTTGATTCCAGGCACATTTAACTGTTTGAAGGAGCTGGTTCATGCAATTTTAATCATATTTTGATCTATCTTTGCCTCTGAGTCATTATTTTCAGAAATGAATAAAATTTAAGACTCGCTTAGAAACTTTGATTGATGACTCCATTCAGCATGTATTCTGCTAAAAGTAACATGTTACAATCCTAAAATAAGTTCTTTGCCATCTAATCTGCAACAAAAGTCACATTAATTTGAATTACATGTATAAATAAAACATTTATTACTATACATTGCAAAATGTATTTTTTTCGTAGTAAATAAACAGTTTTGAGTTGTGAGCACTTAGCTTTATTATTTTCCCAGTAATCACAAGTCAAAATTATTTGACAGTACATGTATATCTTAATAAACATTTCTTAAAAAAAAAAATGGCACATTGATCTATAAAGGCTCGCCACCTCTGATATAAGATAACTATATTTTTTTTAACATTCATATTCAGTACCTATTTAACTTAACATTCTTAGTTCAAAATGATTCATATTTTGTAAAGTGAAAGAAACAAAAACACACATTGTTAAAAAGCTTTAAACAGTAATGTATATGATTATATCTAATTTTAATATCCTCTGTTACCAATTTTACTAACTCTTAGATATTAATGGGGAGAAAACCCATTGTACTACTAAAAAATAAAAGATACATATGTAAGAAATATGTAATTCTCAAAAGGTTTATATTACCATTTATAGGATTTGTAAATTTAATCTTTTTCAAGAACAAGGATAATCCTTTAAAATATGCAAGATTTAAGAAATATTTAATGTGTTACTACTTTTTTGTGTATAATATAACTATAAAAATTTATTTGAAATGTGTTTCCTAAATTTAGCATGTGTGTCAAAATGTATTTCAAGTTTTCTAATAGTTTTTTAATTGTAAACTTCTAATAGTTTTCTAATTGTAAACTTTTATTGAAAGAAATAAACTTTAATTGTTAGAAAAGTATTTGATTCATAAACAATACTTGAGATTAAAAAAATATTTACTATCTTTTTAAAACAATGAAAAGAATATTGTGTACTGCAATCCTACAATGAAAAAACTGAGGGGCATTTTCAGAATTTTTGGGGAGGGATTTTACAAATAAAATCTATATAGTTTATTTTAAATTTCTTTTTCTTTTTGATGAAATTTACATTTAATTTGTTTTATCAAACATTGAATAAGTTTTTTTAGTTTACAAGAATAAAATAAAATTTTTATAAATAATAACTTTCAATGTTATTGCTGTATTTATTATTTTTGAATGTATATCATAAATAATTTCTATAAAATAAATTTTGTGTTTGGTATATTTTAGCTGAGGAAATGGAGGATGAGGAATCTCAAATTAAGCAGTCTCCACGGGATTCTGGTTGTTATGCAAGTCATGAGAATCTGGTTCATCGTGACTCCTCTCAAAGAGCTTTAAGCAATGGACAGTTTGTTGTTGATCTTGAAGATCAGGATACTAGTCACTCTGAAAGCGGAATTCACTCTAGAGAGGGCCAGGACTCGGCTTTGACAATGAATAACCTGGATATCAGTGCTGAATCATCCACTAAGTCAAATGCAACAACTATGGATGATATGGCTGGAGTTACGGACACAAATGATTGCATTGAGGATATTCATGATCATAGTAATTACAACATTCTACCTACCTTAGAAGACATATCAGTTAACAATGGAAACCAAAGTATGCCTGAAAACGCTCCAGAACCTGTAGAAGTTTTTGTTGCTCCACAATTTGGTCAAGAATCTGCATTAAGTGTTCCTTATTTTCTTTCCCATTCTGGCACTAAGTCATCTCCTGGGTCACCAAGAAAAACGAGAACTAAACACAGTCGCAACAAATCCCATTCTCACAGGAGTAGAGATTTATTTAATGACTTTAGTCTTAACTTTCATTCATACACCTTTACAAAAGGTCGTGAACTGTCGATGGATGCCTGTCCTGATCGTAGTGGGTACGTCTATGGATGGGCATCTTTCTATCAGAATGAAAAAGGTTCTAGAAAGAATTTACACGAGTATGATGATGTTGTCAGTGATCCTGCTACAGAAGTAGAGGACTCACCTGGTAGATATGTGTACAAAAAAGTGAAACAGAGAAAGGGCAGTCTACAAACACTTATTCACGATACAAGGCCCCCATCACCGACTCTCATTTCGAAAGTAAATAAGAAATTAGTTGCTGAGAAAATATACTTACATGAAGAGCCCTATACAGATAAGGTAACAGAAATTCATAGTGTTTCTTTTCTTTACTCATTCAAATACATGTACTGTACTAATATTTTAATTTCAGCTCATATCAATGACAAATTTAGAAATATATATATAGGAAGAGAAAATATGGAATATTCTCTCTCATTAATTGTTGACCACTTATTGAAATATTTGTATCAAACAATGTTTTTAAATTCCTATTTAGGAGTCTATTGCTGAATTGTATAATTTAAATAAATGTTCTGCTGAAAATTTTAATATACAGCAATCCTTGTAGAAGATTACATAACTTCCTCGTCCCTCATTTCCATCACTGCATAAATGTGTGTATGTATAAAATTTCTAATTTGACATTATTCACACACTTATTTAATAAATTTTCAAGGTTACTATTTGTATTTTTCATACAGATAAAGCTATTTGAAATTTTAAACTAATATTTCTTCAATTTTAATAGCACTTAAGAATTTTATTTAAATAATGATATTTTAATTCATATTATATTATTTAATTTGATACCAAATGTTGTATTAATTATAAAAAAGTTTTTATTACTTTAATGTTGGATATAGATGGAAAAACTATAATTTTTTCTGAGTGTCTTCATATTATTTTTTGTTTCAGAATACTTAGAATAGATTTAGCATTTAGATTTACTTGAAGTTAAGTGTAACATTGAACAGTCATTTTGTGTTTCAAAGTAGTTTAAAAGAATTTTGTTAAGACTTTGTCTCAAAATATATTTAATACTGTTTAGTTAATAAATACTTTATTGTAGTATCTACGAAATCATGTTAGTGAATGGGAATTTTTAATATGTCAAGTATAAATTACATTTTTCTATCAGTCATATAATTATTTGACAAGAAAAACAACAGATTTTATATATGTACACATTATATATATATGAAGGGGGAGGAGAGATTCAGGAGTTGTGTAATCTTCTACAAGGATTGCTATATACCAAAATTTTAAGCAGGTCATTTATTTATTTTAATATAAATATTTTTTAAATTTTTTTCTCCTTTACAGAAAAAATTAATATTCAAAATCCTGTACTCCATTTTCATCTTGAAAATAAGCAATGAAATTTGAAATATTAGTTGGAGTGGTAGAATCCCCCCTCCCTCCTATGAAAATTTGCTTTTGTATATGCAATAAAACCATCCATCCAAATTAATTGTTTGAAATTCTCTTTCAGTTTTGTTTTAATTAAAAGTAAAAACACAAAATGAAGGGGGATATTTATTATTTATTCCAAAAAAAAAATATATATATATACCTTTTCAAAAAATATTTTATTTTCATTAAAAATTTGATTCATTATGTTTAAGCTGTTAAAAAAAAATCTAAACTTTTCAAATGTGAAATAAAATGTTTCTTAGACTTGTTAGTACTTCAATAAAATGGATTTCTATAAAGTTTTGTCATTCTATTGAAAGGAAATTTTAAAATGTATTTTTAGATTAAAATATCTAAAATAATTTATATAAGAAATGCATGCTTATGAAAATCTAAGATCCTTGTTTCATATGGAGAAATTACTAAATGAATTGTTCCTGAACTCTATTAAAATTTGTGATTTATTTTCACTTGTTATGTGGCATAAAAATATAATTTATGCACTTTAATGTAACAAATAAAGTACAATTATTCAAAAAAAGGATTGTTGTCAAAATTGTTTGCATAATGAAAAATCAGTCTTATTATACATTTGATGGAGTAAAATTCCTTTAGTATATAATTTGAATTATTTATGCAAACGAATATGCAAGTTATATATGATTAAAACAAAATTAATATTTTTGCATTATAGTTATGTATGATTTATTAAATATTTGCACATGATTTCTGTATTTTTAGATAATTTTTGTTGAATTGAGCTTTCAAATTGGAATTTTCTGTAGTAGATAGCCTTTTAAACATGTTGGTTGCTTATGCATATTAATAATAATGTGACTTATATGTATTTTCTAAGATTACTCTTTTGAATTTCAGACTGGTTTCTGTGGTATTCCTCCAGCTTTGGTTCAGAGATATGCAGAAGAACTACAACACAGTATTGTTGATGTGGCTGATGCTTTGGATCAGATTCGCATAACATCTTTGCAGCAACAGGGTAGACGTGGGGTATGTGATATCTGTTGTAGAAAAAACTCGTTTTGCTTAATCATTTTCTCCTTTTTTCAATTCCTACTATTAGTTCACTCTCTCTCTATATATATAGTGTTCAAATTTTCAGTCCTTAATAAAATGCTTTCTATTCTTCCATTCAAGTTCAAATACAATTTTTTAAAACTTGTAGTGGGTGACACTTGATTTTAATAAAGTTTTTTCAAATATTAATTCATTAATTAAATTAAAAAATGAATAAATAGTAACAAACGAAAATAGCAGTCTAACGGCATATATAGAAAGGAAAACCTTTCATTGTGTCCTTTAAGAGGAATGGATAACGCTTTGGACTTCCAAATCAAAGGTTGTGGGTTTGAATCCCACCTGGTATGGTCTAGTTTTTGAGAATGTGATTTCTTTTTTACTAAAATGTTTTATTAGAATAATTACATTTAATTAATGAATAGATAAAAACAAACAAACAAAAAATAGTCCAACACCAACCGTATATGGAAAGGAAAATGGAAAATTGCAAGGAAAATCACTTTCTATTATTTCTCACTTAATATCTGTCTTGTGTAATTTTATCTTGTGTATATACGTATTTATAAGAATTGTAACTATTTAATAAAAAGTAACTAATATAAAATTGTTCTTAGTTGACCTAAGTAGGAATTGACAATTTTTTTTATATTACTTGTATTGTTGTTTTCCATCATCCATTGTCTATCCATCTGTATAAGTTTTTTAAAATATGGGCTTATAGTTGATTTCAAATATTCAAAACTAAGTTTTTGCTCCAATTTTTTTATGCATTAACTATTAAAGAGTTTTATATGAAATATATATATTCTTTTTAATTAATGAAAATATAAATTTTTTTGACATAATTTGAGACAAATTCATTAAGATGTTCAAAATGATAGAATATTGTGCAGGATTTTATATAATTCATATTTTAGCAAATATAATATTAAGTAATCATAATAAAAAAATACTTTTTTCCTTCTCTCTGGAATTTTAAATGTAGATTTTGAAATTTATTGTGAATGGTGTGATTTCTATATATGAATCTTTTATGAAATTTATAATTTTAGCTATTCTATAAACATGCTCTTGGAAAAAGTGTTTGAACTGTAAAAAAAAAATTCTAATAAAATAGTAATTGATATAGTATTAATTAAAATTCTGTTTATTTATTTATAGTGGTTAATTCGTAGGCATGTTATTGATATTTTTAAAGTTTTCTTTTGTGTTTTACATAGGTGCCAAATGATTTCTTGTCAGACTCATGTATTGTTCCTGTAATTGAGCCAAATTATTCAAGTCTTCAATCTTGGCTTACTTCTCTAGGCCTGCCCATGTATTTATCAAACTTTGAATCATGTGGTGTCACAGAATTACATCATGTGGCAACACTTAATGAAGAAGACTTGGCCCATCTGGGTGTGAGAAATCCTTACCACCAGGTTTACCTTGAGTCAGCCATTGGAGCACTTTTTATGAGATATCGGAGGAGACCACAGACATATCCTCAAGGACCCTCAATAGCATAGTTATTTATTATTTTATTTGGACTTTGCAACTAAGTGTTTTTATTTAGTGATTTTAAATTTATTTGAGGAACTGCTTATCTGTGCAATATTTTGCTATACAATGGGTAAAGGGAAAAATTCTGATTTTCAGCTGTTAAATGTAACAAAAATTCTGATACATTTATTTAAAGCAATGAAATTAATTGAGAATTTTAAAATAAATTTAATTTAGTGTAATTGAGGTTTTTATTCCAAAAATTTTATATTTTGTTCTAATTCCTAGGACATTCTCTAGGGTTTAGAAAAACATTTACTTTGAAACTAAATAATTTTAGATGCTCTTATTTATTATTTTTTTCTTTTTCTGTAAGTAATTTGAATTTTTTCAATCGAATATTTGTTTTCAAGTATAGACTTACCAAAATAAATACTTGCATAAATTAAAGTTGAAATATTCTTTTAACTTATCACTATAAAATCAATTTTATTTTCAAGTAATGTTAAATAGTTTTAAGATACATTATCTATGTATTTTCTCTCATAATTACAAGCTTTTTCTCATTTCCCCTTCGATATATGAATGTATAAGGCTATTGTAAAAAATTTTTTTACTTGCCTGCACACAATTATATTTATAAAATTCTTTTATTTATTATTATGAGTAGTTTGAAAGAATTTTGAGTTTGAATGCAGTTTTATGCTGAAAAGATTTTACAATAATAGATTTCTTTTGTTGTAAAAATCCCCTTATTTCTGCAATGTGAGAATCTTGTAACAATATGAATTTCATGTTCACTGAATTTCCATTCTTTTAAATGAACAAAAAATGCATTTTAATTATGAAAAAAAAAATTTTTTAAAGTAACTCTGATTTTGTTATGCACATATGACAATGCTGCTTATTATTTAACAATTATAAATTTAGTTTTATAATTTTAAGAGATTTAGTAAGCTTTATTAAAAAATCATTTGGTAAATTACAAAATTGTCTTTAGTTTCCATTTCTTTTTTACAATTGAATAAGAAATATATATTTTTTAATTGAAATGCAAGATTTCACGTTTCACTGTAATTCATTTAATTTTCTATTTCACTATAACAAAGTATACATTTATAAATGAAATTAAAGAAGTAAAAACACTTTTATATATATATATATATTTCAAATTGTATTACTTTATTTGGTAACATTTCAAGATTTAGAGAATTTTAGAAAACACAAATATGTAATTATACACTTAGTATATAATGTATGCAATAGAACAAATATTGTGTTCTTAACTCAATACTTTTTCACTCAATTCTTAGTACTTTTGGATGTCTTCTTTGTGACACATTTTAATATTTTATTGAAGATTCTGTAGGTATAACCAATGCATATCATGTATTCTAATTTTATTCACGAGAAAAATTATTCTATAATATAGTTATATAAAATATCTTAGCCTTAAATGGTGCTGGGTATTTCATATTGTAATTGAATAAAGAATTTCAGAAATTAAAAGTTTTCAAAGTATATACAGTTAGAATGAGAAAGAAGAGATACTAATAACTTATTTTTTATTGATTTTGTTTGTAATCCTGCATCTATAATAAGAAGTAGGCTATACAAGTACTTTTAATCTTTCTCCAAAACTCCTGAATGTAATTAGGTTTATATTTCAGTGCCATGTTGTGTAGATTATGATTTGATTTCTGTAATCTTAAAAAAAATTTTTTTACATAAAAAATATAATTTTGATATTATTGAAATATAAATAATATAAATCAATTTTTAAATTTAACAGTTTTTACAGTTCTAAAATTTTATTTTCTGAAGAATTTTTAAAAGCAATATGAAATTTTTTCAAAAACTTATTTAAATATTTTGATAGATACTCTGTTAGAAATGAATAAATAATACTCTAAAATTGTAATACAGTTTCTTCTTCAGGAATTAGATATTTATATTTTATGCTTGAATTTATGTTGTCTGTGAGAAATTAATTATAATTTTGAAGGACCTGTAAAATACGATTTAAAAAATAATCACATCAAAACTTTTCCCTTAAATTAATATGAAGAAGTTGGTGATATTTTATCTATGTCACAAAATGAAAGAATCATGCCATATTTCAGATTATGTTATTTATTGGATACCTATTAAATGAATTAGTGGTGTAACAAGGGATATTAGGTCCTCCCCCCCCTTCAAAATCAGGTTTTGGACCCCAAGCAAGATCATAAAGAATTGCAAAACATTATCAGGTCCCTAGAATCCTGGGTCCCTCATGATGTGGCAGCGTACATTATGCCACTAGAATGGATACTTCTTCAATAAGCAGGATTTGTCAATGCTATGAAGTTCAACTTTAAAATATATCTTGGCTTCCATTATTTTTAAAATTGATGTGACAGTTGTATTTATGACCTGAATTTAGTTTTTATGTCTCGAAATAATTTAAAATAAAACCAATCCAAAGCATTTTTATGTGTTTGACTTTATTTATAAATATTATAAATTGCATCTCTTTTAGAATTTTTAATTAAAAAAAATAGCTCCTCTCTACAGATAAATTTTGCATTGTATATATATATATATATATATATATATATTAAAGTGATATATTTAACAATTGTTTCAATTTTCATAAATTCTTGAAAATATAATAAAAAATAATTTATGGAATTCAAATTGCATTTGCATAAGTTAAATCATTTTCAGATCATTGCATTCAATCAATTCATCATCTAATTCCAGTATCTTACTTATATTATTTATCCAAAATTTATTGTTTAATACATAACTAAACATAAACACAACAGTTATTAAATAATTTTTTAAAATGTCTCCACATAATGTTCTAATATTTTTAATAGAAATACATTCAGTTTTTCATAATAGCAGCCTTTTTACTGGTCACATATCAAAGAGCAATGTAAAAAATAACACATTTTTTGAAATATTTTAACCACATGAATGACCTTGAAAATTTTCACTTATATAAAAAATGTTTTAAATTAGTTTTTTTGGGCTCTGTATGAAGTATATCTCTTGTAAAAAGTCTTTATTCAGCCTTACTGTAAATCTTCACCTTTTTTTATAAAATTCAAAATTATATTATCAACTTATCACATTGAAACTATCCATACTGTGTATAACCACAAAATCATTCTATATCTTAAAAGTTGTAAAAAGAAATCATTTGCATTTTTTTTACCATTCACTTAATATTTTTTTGGTTAATAAAATGTTTTCTGTGATATTTATTGCAATTTTCTTAATGCAGTTTTTAATGACTTCCTCGGTTATAATGAAGCACATTTGTGTACAGCTGTGTTGATTTTCCCTATGTAAGCAATGTGTATAGTGTGTACTCTTACAGAACAATGAAGCTTCATGCCGAGCTATGCTGTAAACTAAATAACTAATGTTCTATATACACTTGTAAATGTACTATACAGACTTGCACTGCTTAGCTATAGCTCTTCAGCTTTTGTAGATGTGCAAAAATAATGTGTGTAAATTAAATATAAAATATGTACACTGTAATAAAGAAAGTTTGCAAAATTGATTAGTGCCTTATCATTTTATTAAAAATGTTTAATTTATATAGTTCACAACAAGAATGAACTACATAAATAGATTTTATTGGCAGGGAGGATGTAGAATTCAAGTATATTTTTGAAAAGAAAAAAAAATACATAAAGCTCAATAAGTTCATATATGCTTCACATTCACTTGCTTATTGTATAGATTACATAAAAATTCAAAATATTTTATTATACAATTTTTCTCTTAAAAATGCATTTTTTTAAAGAACTTTAATATATGCAATACTTTTCTTTAATATATGTTAAAAGGTCATTTTTTTATT